CTGGTTTATTATCTAGCCATCTGTCTGTATGAAGTTCACCAAATAACAATGTCGTTTCGGTATCTAATTTTAGAACTTTGTCATTGGCATCTTCGTCAAATGGTGATAAATGTGGAATATGTTGTCTAAAAAAAATTTTTAACACCAAATTTTTAAAGCAAATTTTTCGCTTTTAATGAAATAAATTAAAAATTAAAATCAATTCCTATATACTTAGGTTGCTTTCGGAAACATCACCCGAGTATCTCCCTGTATCGTTTTATTCTTGTTGTTCACCCAATGTTAAACAAGGATAAGATGAGGGCATCCAGGTGATGTTTCCGAACGCAGCCCTACCTCATAAAGACATATGCTTGTAGATAAATATCTGACATTCCTTTCGGCCATTCTTGATTCCATTTAGTACATAAAAATTCTGCAAATTTCGTGATAATTATCATTAAATTGCTTTTACTGTTATGTTGATTTATAAATGCGTCCACATCGGCAGTTTCAGTTTCTGTTCCAAAGTATTTTTGTGGTTGACTGTACAAATATAAAAAGTCACAGATTAACAATAATATCATTACGATATTATTACATCGATAAAGATTTAATTATAGACAAACACCTTGTGTCAGGACTTGGCGATTTAGAACTTTCCGAGCATTTAAGAGTTTCCACATTTTTATTATTCTCCCGATTCGCAAATAATTGGTACATATCCATAGTGTCCATGGAATCATCTAGATTTTTAGTAGAGTCATCTTTAGTCAATCTTACCGTGTCGGGTCTACAAAAAAAGATTAAAGAAATTATATTTTATATTTTCAAACTAATTACATATAAATCATTATTTAATATACATACAATAGGGTACTAGGAAATAATCTTCTAAGTGTTTCCTCTAACTGAACATCGTCCCTTTCTGCTTCCCTTCTGTTTGGTCCTCTTACTCTCGCGGATCGCCTCATGCTGCTGCAACTCCAGGCCCATTGTTGTAGAAAACATAACGCACTTCTGCGTCTTTTCTTCACTTTCTGTCCTTCTTCCTTCCCATCAGTTTTCTCAGAATGAGTTTTATCGTCTGCCTTACACATTGCATCGTTCGCTTTCTCAGTACCTTTCTCAGAAGCCTTATCACTTGATTTATCACTTTCCTTATCACTACATTTCTCATTAGGTACTCCATTATCTATGCAATAAATATCGTCTGTGACTTTGTCACTCTCTAATTTGTCGATATTTGCATCTGCTTCAGAATGCATTTGTTCCTCCGATTCTATGTTTTTTGTTTCAGTTTGTTCTTCACTTTGTAAACCATCTATGTCAGACATTCTCAACGGATCCTCCTCTTCAACTATTTGCACATCGCTTGAACAAGATTTTTTGTCGTCTTCGATTTCAATTTCCATTACTGTGTCTGTATTAAAAACTTGATTGTCATCCGATATCTCGCAATCTTCCGTTTCAATTTTAATAGGTTTGATATCAGTCTCTTCATTCGGAATCAAGTCATTTTGTTGATCTACTTCCATTATACTTACACTACTTTCTACAATTTCTACTTCATTACTCGCTGTATTCTTATCATCAGGTTTTTGGATTGGTAATATAATTTTACTAACAAAATTCAAATTATTATCAGTAATATATCTATGCATGTCCAATAGACTTTCTCCAAGAGCCAACCATGTGCAGCTAGTTAAGGGAGTTCTTAAAATTAATTCTGGTAAGGATTTTGGCGTAAACTCTGCTTTGCAAACTTCCACCCACTTTCTAGAAACTTCCTTCGCCTCTGCTAATAATTTGTCAGCCAATACATGATCATATTCAGTATACAAAGGTGGATCCATCTGCCAGTCGCTATTATACAGCTTATAACATTCTTCCATACATGGAATGTCTTTAAATATCTTGTCACGAAAAGCCAGACCCTTCACGTAATTAGGATCCCTCTCCAATGCCACCGAAATATATAACAGACAGTTCATATAATCAGGAACAGCATATAAGGCAGTTATGAGATTGTCCAAGCATGGCCAGTGATTAATATTGCATTTTAGGCCTTGCTTGAATGCCGAGCAAGCTAATTCCAAGTTGGAAATCTTCATAGCTAATGTGCCGATCCTATGCCACAATGTTACATCGGAATCGTCCAGGTTTGCAGCTTCCCAATAATTCTCCACAGCTTCTTCATAATTCTCACAAGTCGCTTGAATGGCGCCAATGTTCTTGAAGCAGGAATATTTCAAGGACAACATTGGTCTAGACCTGCCATCTGGTACTTCAGGTTTTTCCACTCCATCCAACAGTTCAGTCTCTAGGAGATCCTTGAAGACGACCAGTGCTTCGTCACGTTTGTTCTCTTTTAACAGCTCCAAGGCTTTGTTATATTCCGTCAGTGCTATTTGTTCCTGGAAAAAAATTATTTCACATTTTACCACACATATCAATATAATATTTAGAATTCCTCCAAATTTCAATTTAAATATCTGATACTTTTATCATCGCTAACTTTATGATTCTCACTATGTATTAAAAACTGAAAAATGAAGTTAAAAAGTACAGGACTCTTAATATTCAAATCAGAAAAAGTGATGTAAAAGGCTAATAAGAGTTAAAAAAATTTTTTCCTTAAGAAATCTTAATCGTTTGACATAAATATTATGTTTTTAAAATTTGTTTGACTCTTATTCAAATCTTATTAATCTTGTTTTATCTCTTATCAGCCTTTTACATCACTTTTCCTGATTTGAAAGATTGAAATTCGTTCGATCAAAACAAAAGGAGCTAAAATTTCTTTGTTCTCATTGGTTAAATTTTTAATCTTCAATCTTAATCTTCAATATGTTTCCAATCTAAGACTTTATGATATTTTGACATCTTATGTTGATTTTGGACATGATGTTATCTGAATAAGAATGTTTCCAGGATACCTCTTGAATAACATATACTACTTACTAGTGTGGTAGATAATTTAAAGTGTACTTCATTAGAGAGTGATTATCTGCTAAACACAAAGTAATAGTAACATTACATTTCTAATTCCCACTCAATAATGTAAATGTAATATAACACATGTTGTATGTTACAGTTGCATTGTTCAATAGGAAATTATAATATTGATATATTATTATTATTACTTTATGTTAGGCATACACATACACACACACACATACACACAAGTTGTATCCCACCTGGTGTTGAATAGGGATCTGTGCGCTCTTCGAACGTTAGTTATCCACGCTGAATAATCAATGCAAGGATACATTGTAAATTAATGTTATCGATAACGATACGAAACAACAAAGAAGCGTCGAAAAAATTCATATCTGTACGTCTCTTTTAGGTTATATGATAATGTAAATAGATGCGTTGCTCTACCTGCGCCTCCTTCGTGATCGTGGGTAAATCCTCCTCCTCGCTCTCCTCACTTGACTCCTCGTTAAGCGCCGAAATCTTGATCATCCTGCCGAGTTCGCGTGGTGTCGGCTACGTACAAAACGTCAACAAAACAACCGGTTTTTTAACACGCCGCCATGCCATCGGACTGATCACTGCCAACATGCCCCGTGCTCGCGTATGCGCCGATGCGCGTTGTTCACAGCTTAGCGCGCAGTGCTGTAGCCATTAGGTTAGGGTTAAAGTAACAATGTGGTGCCATGTGGACCACATTTGTTACTTTAAGTGCGAAGTCTGCGCGCCAAACCGGACAACGGGAGGTGCGAGGAATCCCAAGAGAAAAATAGAAACAAGGTAAAGTATTTTAGGTCAGAAAATGAATCGCAATGGAGTCAGGAAAAAGGCCCACGAAAAAGGTATGTATCCGAAAATTTAGAAGATCTTGGTTAGATGAAAATATCTTTAGGCTAATTCTACAATGTGCTTTTTGTTTCCTGTTTCTTGCTGTTTGTCTCTTGCCTTTTTGATCAAGAAGGCAAGAGATAAACAGCAAGAAAAAGGAAACAATAAGTACATTGTAGAATTAGCCTTAAAGGTTGGTTGGCAGAGAAGAAATGTGTTTTACCTGTAAAATTATTTCATCGTCTATCCTCGTCATAATTTATCCACACAATTATTATTACCGCATGCTAAGAGGTATATCTAATTTCTATATATATTTATAATTCTATTTCTCTTTGGGGCGACTAAGGACACCAGTTTCACGAACAGATTAGATACTCTACTGGCGCTTTAGACTGCGCGCATGCGTGAGGGCGGCGGGCTGATCTGACGTAAGGTTCGTTCGCATGCTCCAACATGCTCCAATATGCACCTATCATAGCTCCTACTCACTCCAATGCACTCATTAGAGTGAGTAGGAACTATGGCAGGAACATGTTGGAGCATGCGACGCGAACAAACCTGTAGATAGAAGCTTTCCATTTGATGACACAGGAGGTTTGTTCGCGTCGCATGCTCCAACATGGGGTGATCCCCATTGACCTCACTCTAACGAGCGCGTTTGAGTGACTAGGAGCTACAGTTGGAGGAAGTAGGAGTATGTTGGAACATGCGACGCGAACAAACCTCATAGCCCTACTTACTCCAACGCGCTTGATAGAGTCAAGAGTGAGTAGGAGCTATGGTAGGAGTATGTTGGAACATGTTGGAGGGATGGCACCCAGTTGGATCTCCTACTCACTCTTGACTCTATCAAGCGCGTTGGAGTAAGTAGGGCTATGAGGTTTGTTCGCGTCGCATGTTCCAACATACTCCTACTTCCTCCAACTGTAGCTCCTACTCACTCAAACGCGCTCGTTAGAGTGAGTAGGAGCTATGCCCTATGGTAGGAACATGTTGAAGCATGTTGGGGTATGCGACGCGAACAAACCTATGGTAGGAGCATATTGGAACATATTGGAGCATGCGACACGAACAAACCTACAGTCGACACAAGTGTCGTTCCATCTTTGTCACTCTCTGAATGTCAACAAGGGTAGAACGACGCTTGTGTCGATTTGTGTCGACTTGTATCATCAAATGGAAAGCACCCAGATGCTAGTGAGATTGTCGAGTGATCAAAAGAGATAATTCAGAGATAGCGATCAAGTGTACACAAAATCCGAGTCGTTTACTCGATCACACTTTGTTTTTCCTACCTTTTTCTTGTAGTCTTACTGCACGTGTATCCGGTTCTCCATGAAACGGAAAGAAATGTGACTTAAACGAGAAAGATGAATTTAATATTTGATTCACGTCGAGTGTAGGCGAGTGCAATGCACGAAACGAGCGCAATGAATTATCTGCGATTCCGACTTCGGAAGTCAGGTATCTCGCGTGCGGCGAGAGGAACTGAGAGGAACAATTGAACTTTTAACTTGCCTTATCTCGCTTGTCGCCCCGAATGTTACAAATAAAATGTTATGTCGCACGCAGCGGTCGAGCTGTACCAACTGTATGCTCGGTATGCTGTCGATCACGTCTTAGTTTCGCTTTTGTTTTCAGTACAGAGGCGCGTATTCGGTGATGTTGCCTCGCCGAGAATGGCAATAATCGAAAAGATCTTGCATGAGAGGATGTTGTGCGTTGAGGTAAGCACGCATAATTATGCTATTTTATTGCTAGTCTCAGCGAACAGTGTATGTGCGCTGCATCAGATATTGCAGGTTGCATTTTATAAAATATGCTGACGCGCGCGGAAATTTATTAGGAGACACTGTGCCCGGCGATAAGATGAGCACAGATGAGCATAGCGACATGGCATAGACAACGTGAGCGTTTGACTTCAGTACTGTAAGATATCACGAAACTGTAATGTTAAACTTATAAAAAACGTGTATAAAAAGCTTGAATTCCCTTGGTAATACAGGAGTTTACATGCAGAGAAAAGATTAGCCAATGCAGCTAAAATGTGTCCTTATAGGGATAGCTATGGGTGCTTTCCAGCAAGGACACAGTCAGACACAGTGTAATACAGTGAATCATTATATCCTTGTTGTTTACCTACGTTAAACGATGAAACGATTCACTATGTTGCACAGTATCTAACTGTGTCCTTGCTGGAAAGCATCCTACTCTAACAGCAGACCTCAATGGGATGCCCTGAGATCTGTATGTCCTTTGAACATCCTAAGGACATCCCCAGGATAAGAAGGGATGCCCTAAGAGTATCCCGGATAAAGTGTGTTATTAGGGTAATATTGTTGCTGTCAAAACTCAATTTATTATCTACTATTTATAAAGTGTTGCAGCGAAACATATTCGCTGCTAAGGTAAAATGATGTTTAGCTAAATATATTTATATATTGTTAAGTTAATTTCTTTTTACAACAGAAACTAATAATATTTGCAGCAAGATTAAGAATCTTAGCTGACATATATTATGCTTTGCTACTATTTAACCACTCCAGCTATCAAATTTGATACAAGAGTACTTTTATATTAGTTACTGCGTTTAAAGATATGATACATAGAAAAAATGTTGTATTAACAGCATTTAATTGCTAACACAATCTATTCAAAAGTCTTCATTCAATAACAGTATTAATGAAATAAATAACTTTTTTTTTTAAACAAGAGAATGATGATTTGTTGCATTAATACTGTAAATTAATAAGATTATTTTCAATTAGATGCTGTTAATTTAACGTTATTTCTCTTTGTAGTATTGAAAGTCTATAATTCACGTATAGCTATATTATACATTTCAATGCCACATTTCAGTATATTTCTAAACACTACCAATAATTACCAAATCTACATTGCGAAATGAAGCGTACTTATTTAATGAGACAGAGACAAGAGGGATTTTGTACACGTATAAGCAGTCCAATCCAATTTCCAATTCATTCATTTCATGTTGTTAAATCAAACATATATCAGAGAGATCTGGATAACAAATAAAAAAATTTGTGTTGTGTATTGTAATAAAAATATAAGGCATACATAAAAAAGGCTTATTATATTATATACATATATTAGCTTATATTAAAGGATCCATAATACATGAAATAAACTTTTAATACAGATTCAGTAAACCAAAGTTACATTTGACGTACCTGTTAATTGTAATTTCGTATTATAATTAATGATATAATTATAATGTAACACACGTGTTATATTACAATTAATCGTATTAGAAAATAAATCGAAATCGGAAATAGACTGCGGTAGATGCAATGAGCATGCCACCCAATGTCGTAAAAAGGATATTATGCCTAGATAGCGCAGGCAACCGGCAGCGTCCCAGAAACAATTACGAATGGAATGCTCGATTACGCGGCTAAGATAGTGAGGAATAACTGCCACTTAATTATTCATATTAAGTACGCTTTTAATTTTAACTAATGAAGTTGGATGTCGGCACCAAATGTGTTTTATCTTCCAATAGCCAACTTTTAGCAATAACAGCAAAGTTTGAACCAGCAACTGATATTAAATTGAGCTTTAGCAGCAACATTAGCTGTCCCTATTAGAAGGGCACATTTTAGCCACAGCTATATTTTAGCTGCGTTGGCTTATCTTTTTTCTGCGTGCACACGCAATGCTCCGAAAATGCATTAGAGAAGAGATGACACACCTGAGCAATGTCCAACGAATATTCGAAATAAGAGAACGGTTTTTCCTACGGCATCGACAAGACGTATCGCTCGTATTAAGAATCTGGAAGTCACGGTCGTGCATCGCACATACATTTTCCACGCGCCAAGTTCCTCGTTATCGAGCCAATTAATATTCATGCCGATCGGAGCGCGGTTCTCCGATTATCAGTGTAATAAAGTGTGAACTGAATAAAGTCTTAGGCCCGTATTCAGAACGCACTTTTATCTCTGAAATTCTATAATATGCGTGACGTAAAGTATAATATGTTAGCGTGCTAACATCGTTGTAAGCGCGTTCTGAATACGGGCCTTAGTCTCAATCTATATATATTCAAGAACAATTATTAATTTGAATATCCTGAACACCATCCTTACGGATTCATATCTTACTGTACTATTGATGTATGTATAGTATATTCAGAAATTATTCTAGACAAGATTGGCGTCAACTGTCTATGTGTTTTACCAGTAGAATCTGCTGACATAGGACAATCTCGATCAAACTCTGATTAACTCAATCGATAATCAATTAAACCAGCAGAGAATTGTTTAAAGAAAACTTTCTAATTATATATCCGTTATCCTTAATGTAATCTTTGTTTTCATGTGTTAAACTAATAATTAAAATCAATAATTTTATCTTATTAAAATATTATTTGATAAGCTGGAATTTAGTTAAAGCCATTTGTATTCTGATAATAAAACTGATAGCAGAAACCGAACAGTGTTTGTCATCTTATAAATGAAAATATTCATTATTATAAATAAGGATAATTTTTTCTGTTATAAGTTTGCTATCGGGCAGATTCAATATGTCATATTCTGTGTTTTGTAAAATTTAATTTGATTATTTTGAACTATTTATGATCATACTTGATGACAAATTCGCACTAAAAATCCACATTTTTTTTGTAAATTATCATTAGCAACGCAAATTAAATTACACGCATGCAATTACGTTAGAAACATATGTATAAGATTTAAAATGTGTGAAACATATTATCTATTATAATATTTGATTAAATAATTACGAATACTTTCATCGTATACATTATGGCTACAATGTCACAATTTTTTTTGAAAGTTACACAAATGATTGTCTCATTTCGTTTTCTTACAATAAATTTTACATATGATAGGATTTCAATAAAAACCTCGGTTTATATAAACACGTAGTTACATTATTAAAACTTGCGGTAAACAATAAAACATTTCTTTGTTGATAGTAGAGTTTAATGTAAAAATGGAAGAAATTATTATGTATAATAATAATAATAATGTTATACTATCATTGAGAATGACGCAAATAAGTAACAGTCTTTAATGAGAATGTTGTATACAATAAACATTGTTAGATTACAGAAGAGGTAAGATTACAACGTATAAAAAACATGACAACGATATTTAACTTCATTATATGAATACTGTAGCTTCTGAAGTTATATGAGTGATAATAAATAGTGAGATTTAACAAACAATAATTTAAAATTTAAATATTCAACAAAGCATCCTTACCATTAACTGTATTCTAACAAGATGTGTAAAGTATATTACAATTCTTGGCACTTTAAATCACCTTACAAATAAATTCCCTTATTACATAATGGAAAACTCACGTTTAATAAACGTAAAAAATCAAGATAGATTTCAAAAATTATAAACGATAATTTTTTATACTGTTTCAGTTACTGTATTAATAATATAAATTGACATAAGTATGTACATCGCAGGAGACCAGTTGAGAGATGATACGCGAACCATAGATACAAAAAGTTTGCTTGGTTCTGCAATTGAAAAATACAATAGTATTATAATAAAATCACCTTCTCCTATTTATAATAGATTTAACCAAGATTGGCGTATAGGTGAGCATTTGATCTAAAAATATATAAAATATCGTTTTCTTCATATATATAATAAAATTTTTTAGAATAAGTTCAAAGTAACATAACTATTTCTCTTTTATAGAACCTACAATGAAACATTATTGGGCTGCATCCTTTTTATTACCAGTCGGATCTATTCTTATTCTTGCAATGGTTGTTTTGCTAATGGTAATGACTATAAATTTATTGTAATCATGATCATTTTTTATTAATAAAATTTTTAATGAAAATTTTAAATTTTAAATGACAATTATAGGTATTGTTCAAACGATGTCCTCATATAATAGCCGCGATTGTTACTGCAATGCTCACTATCATTATCTTATTAACAATTATATTGTCACTTAATCACGATCCGGTTTATATTTAATATATTTATATCAAATAATTGCATATACTGTTACATAAATCTTTCTTCCATATGTACATTGAACTGGGAGTTTATAATTAATAATATATACAAGAATTTTTGTAACAACTATACATATTGAATAAATAGATGTTACTTACTACTAGGACTGCTCATTCATCATTTTCATTTTAATCATGTCTTCTGAAACACGTTTTACTGTTTCCAGATACTTTTCCAAAGTTGCATCTAATCTTTCGTAGCTCTAAAATATAAATCTCAGCATATACCAAGTTGTGATGTTAATATATAAATATACATTTTTACAAATTTATATATATATATATATATATACTTTACCTCTGCATGAGCTGAGTCATTTTTCAAGTGTCGTAATTCACTTAATAATACTTCTATAGTATTAAGCGGTAACCAAACAGGTGGCGCGGTAGCTACTAATGGTGTTTCAAGACCAAAATGTTCTTTACCGCTACCTAATACCGCGTTAATGTAATCTACCGCTAAGTCGCTGGCTTCCACTAATCGACCAGTATTTAGCATGAGACGAAGAAGCTCTGACGCATTTCGCTTCTACAATATTTTGATGTAAATAGAATATTTTATCAACATAGAAATATTATACAAATACTATATAAATTTAATCAAGTACTTACTTTATATGATATTAATAACCATTGTGGTAGAAAGGCTCCATCTTGCAATAATTTTTGTGCAACGGCCTTATGTAGTTCGCAGTTATCACTCTTTTCGTGTTTCAATGTGAAGTACTCTAACAATTTCCAAGCAGTGTTTGTAATGGTTGTATTAGATATTCCTTATATATATATATATAGCTTTTGGAGAAAATATCATTTTGGAATAATTTGCAAAATTATAATACAATTATGCATACCGAATATATCATTTTGTATTAGCCAGTCCCAGGCGTTTGGATCCTCGCGTTGACTCAATTTGATGCATTGAGAGGTCAAACTTTTGAGTACAGAGGCTTTACTAATTTTAAATACATCACATAAATGTAACGCTGTTGCATACAAGCCAATGCTACATAAAGTGACGATAAGTTCGGAAAGTTCTGAAATATATGAACATACACATATATATAATAAAATTTCGGTCATTTTCTTCATAAAGACAAATTACACAGATAAGAGACATTTACCAGTATGTGCAACTATATGCATTTCCGAATTTACTTTTGATATTTTTAATCTTGCATCTACTATATAATACTCCTTTTTGATATCATCCAGTTCGAGTACTTCGACTTGTTTCTTTATCTTATAATGCAAAACCTCTTTTCCGTCAATATCTCTTTTCTTTTGTGGATTCGATGAGTTCATTTCACTACAGATACTCTGATCAATTACAGGCCTTACGATCCACCTGTACTTTTCACTTACATGATGTAAAGCATTAATACACGCTAGTAGACATTGTGCTTGTTTCGCTATAATCGGTGCAGAGTGAGGCTCTTGACTCAAACGCATAGCTTGTTCGTACATTATGGATGCGGCTGTAAAAATATAATAAAAGTTTATAGCTGATAATATGTGTACATGTATACTCAATTACAGAACAAGAAGCTTACCTTTCCGCATGTTTTGCTTATTGACATGGAAACTATATAGAAAATTATAATAATTGTTTTCCATAAGATCAACGCTTCTGGCTCTGCCTTCTACTATTCTTTCGAGATCCTCGTACATATCGATATAAGGAAAAGAAATTAAATCTATCAACAATTTTTTTTCGAATAACGTAACGACCAACTGCCGCAAGCAGTCCACTCTGCGTACGGGATCTGGATTCGCGTTCAAGCAATGATAAGCTTCCGCGTGATGACCCAGACTTAAATGTTGTGCGAATATTATGGAATGAAGTGTCGGCAAATTCGGATCATCTGTGTCGGCGTTTGTTATGGCCGTTTCAGCGATCTCTATGATACAGTCGGACGCATTGTGCTCCTCGAACAATTTGATAACTTTCAGATAATAATAAACCAAATCCCTATTTCTCGATGTCACGTTAGAATTGAGTAAGGCATCTACTAGAAACGGATCGGTCAATATTCCGTCGGAAGCACGAAGAAAATGATCGCACGCCTTTTGCATCTCTCCCATTTCTAATAAGGCAACCGCTAATATAAATTTTCTCGAAGCGCTATTCCACTCACACCATGTGTTCAGAAGTCTTACATATTCTTGAACAAGCAGGAACTGGCAACTGGAGAGTAGCCATTCAGGGAAGATAAAATTTCCAGATATCGGCCATCTAATTGCATTGCTCAAGAAAATATATAGAAACAATAAATCTTGAATTATTTGTACTTGATATAAAAGAATCGTTGACACAAAAACTGTGTCCATCAAAAATTGAAACTATTATTGAAGGATACATAAGTTGCGCGATAAGTGTCACATGTGTTAGCATACTGTAGTGCCAAGGTATCAGAGTTGTTGGATCCATGTTCGCTTGAGCCATCAAAATATGAGCGTGTTTCGCACCGCTGCTATGAATAAACAATTCTAACAACGAGAGAGACCGATGCTGCCTCTGTCCAACATTAATTCGCGAATCAGCAAGCTTAAGAGTTGAAAGACGTTGAGAACTGGATTCGCTGAAATTTTGTAATCTTCTTTAACATGTCTTCATGTTGCTGCTTATAAATATCACCTGACCAAAAATAAATTTATATTTATTATGATATAAAATGATAACGACTTACAGTAATGATTGTGAAGGCGTGTACAATGCTGTCGATTCGCATAGCCACGTGACGACATAGTAAGCTTGAGTAAGTACAACGGTTCTCGGCGCTAACGAAGATCTTATAGTATGTAAAGATCTCGAATTAAATATCTCAGGACGAAGTAGTATGAGTTGTTGCAGTATCAACAAATCCCTGCAGATAGAAAATCTCAGGAGCGCTATTTGTGTTATGGCTTCCGCTATCGTGGCAATTCCTAGCTGACTGCCAAATAGATGATTGACATTCAACAAAAGTTTCGAAGTATCGTGATCATCCTCAAATTGCAGTTTATTCGGCTGCCCAAGATCATATGTTAAAGCTTCCAACAACATGGCCATGGCTCCTGATATATCTTTAACGTGACTCAGTTTATGACAGAGTTCCGATTGGAAGTCAAAATCCGATAGCTATTTTTAACAGTATATCTATTACATAAGAGTACATTGCATAAAGAAAAATCAAGTAAAAATTAATTAAAATACTCACTGGATCGTCAGGTTCCAACAGTTTTGACAGTAAATCATCAATTATGATATCTGGACTTCTTAAATGATACAATTCTCTCTCGATTTCCGTTTTAGTTTCTTCAGATAACTGTTCTCCTAACAAGACTAACACGGACATTAACGTGATTAGATCTTGACACGTGTCTTCATCTTGTGATAGAATGGGCGTTGTCTTGAATCGAGAAATATAGGATTTATTGTTGCAAAGCACCAGATGTTCTAAAGCTTCCATAGGTCTCAGAAACGAGAACGAGGACTTCTTCAATAACACAACGCCGTAAACGCTCGGTAGTAGAAGTAGACCTACAGGACGAGTACCGTTGGCGTGGTATTGGACGACGCACGAGTAGAATTTCGACCAACATCGATTAGCAATTTCGAGATAATCTTCATCCATAATCACGTAATCCATCACTTCTGCCTGCATCTCAGCCTCTACAGCCATACACACCCTTTCTTTTAAAACTGCTGGTGAAAAAGTCATATCTGCCACAACATTGGATCTCCTGTAGATGCTCAGAGCTTTCGTGATGTCTGCCAACGAAAACATTCCAGGATGAAAAATGTAATTAATGTACGCCTCTCTTGGGTCTAGTCCTGGTTCATCAGTTGCAATATAATCGCTGTCACGCGCTGGTTCTAAAATCGCAGTTTCCCATTCTGGCTTAATGCGATGCGTTAATGGTAATTGTGCATGTGTCACTGCCATCGCATCCATGTCCGCAGTTCTCCACACTGCCCACAATCTAGTTGACGTAAATGCAAAATCTACCAAATGTTGCTGTGTACAAATAATATAAATTCGTTATGCTCTTTTATCATTTTTAATAAAATATATAGAAAAAGAAGTATTAATAAAAGTACTTACGTCTGGCGTGTATAATGTACATAATCTAATAAACTTGAACATGCCATTGTCCTGCACAGGCTTCAGAATGCTGAATTCACATCCCGTGCCAAATTTTAAGAAAGTTCCAAGATACAATTCGTTATCGTTGCCCAGCGCTTTCCGTAAGACGTGACCTTGCGCACCTTGAGAGACAACACGATTCTCGGTAGCCGCATCTGTTACAGCTACGCATTGTGTCTTGTTACAAGACCATATACGCAGATTGCCCTCTCGACATAATGCAAACAGATACGTATCGCTATCATAACTGTGTATAACAAGAGACATAGCCACATAAGCTTCGGTATTACGACCTCTAAAGGCAGTGGCTATACCACTTAAAAATTTGGGCATTATTGAGTCCTGTTTCAGTTCACTGGTGTGCACGAGACCTGTAAGTGCATCAAGCCTCAAGAGTAATATAGTGGCTGAACTGTATGCAAGGGCAAACAGTGCCTCTTCCTGTGGCAACGTAAGCCACGACGCTGCTGCATGAGGCACTGGGGAGTCTGAAAAAAAATTATTAAGTGAATGCCTGGTATAATATATATTTGATAGTGACAAAATTAAATTTATTATATTGCCGTATTATGCTATAGGATCCTTTCCAGTAAGAGACACAGTGTAACACAATGAATCATTACATTGTTTAAACAGAGAAATGACTACTGTGTCACTGTGTCTCTTGCTAAAAAGCACTAATAATCTGTATGCTTACTTGTAGCTCCAGCATTAGAAATAATGTGAAATGTATGAGGATCTCTGGCATTTTGTACAGAAGCTTCGCTAAATATAGATTGTACACTGAGATCAGTATATGTTCCCAATAGATTTTCCTTGAAAAAAATAAATATTAAAACAAAATAATTTTTTATAATAAAATATACATAAAAACGAGTAATAAAATTCATGCGT